GAGAGAGGAGACAGAAGATCTGAAGCGAGCTATCAGCGCCAGCCGGATGTGGGGCTGGAACTCACAAACCAGGAGATCGGGACCCGAGCTGAAGCCCCAGGGCTTAATCCCCTGAGCCAGGCAGGCACCCCCCCAGAGGGCGTGGTCTCTTGTATGTACTTGATAAGGGTCGGAATTCCGGAGGCATGGTGGCTATTGTGGCTGTTAAAGGCAAAAAAGGGGCCACTTGAATATTAGGTTGGGAAGGAAGCGCAGGTATCCTTTAACTCATGAAAGTTTATGATGCTAGGTGTGAAAGTGACCTGGAGATAGTTGCCTTAGAAGCAAGGTTACGCTTGTTTGCAGGCTCTAGTTTTCTGGGGACGGTCCAGATCATGAATTTTCATGAAAGGGGCGGTTCCCGGTGGAATCGTGGACAAGTGTCAATGTTTGGAAAAGAGTATGAAAATAAGGTCCTTCCTCAGCCTGCATCTGTCCCGGGGTCCGTGGTCTTGCCCTGCTGAGGGCTCTGATTGTCCTCACCGGGGGACCTTTCTCTCACCTGCAGGCGGGGGCAGAAGGTCGAGAGGGTGAGGGCTGTGGCACCGTGGGGCTGCTGCTGGAGCACTCGTTTGAGATCGGTGAGTCTAGAACGTTCCTTGTCTCGGCACTTACCTGGTGCCCGGTGAAGTCAACAACGTGGGTCTGGTGCCACCCAGTGTGAGACATGCCATCCATTTACTGCCGGCTTTGCCCCTAGGAGTGTGTTTGGGTTATTCTGGGGGAGGTTGGGGCAGGGAGGGCACGAGAGAGTAAGAACTCTACCTTTGGATACTCCCTCACCTGTAAAATAAATCCTAGTTTCAGAAAGGCCAGTGCAGCGGTAATAACCTCAGAGCAGACTTTTCAGACCAGTCACCTTGTGCCCTGCATTCGTGGCTAGATGTTCTGCATGTATTCACTCCAAAGTGCTCTCAGCAGTCATGCAACGTGGCGGGTGTTAGGGATAGCCCCGTTTTCCAGAAGGGGAAACTGAGGTTCAAAGGGGCATCGCATAAGGTCCTTTTGTAAGTGAATGGCAGAGCCAGGACCTGCTCTACAGCCCAGCTTAAACTACTGGGATTCAGGCATTCAGATTCCCAGAGCACAGATGTCAGTGTGGCCCGGAGGTCTGAGGTCCCAAACTCTGGAACACTTGTTTGAAACACTGAAGCTGGGACCCTCTGCACTCCTCCTGACTCGGTCCCTGGCATCTGTCCGGAAAAGCCCCACGGATTCCGACATGGCCTA